GGTGCAACTGTGGAAAACAATATTGAGATTTCTCAAAAATTCAGGAATGGAATCACCATTTGACCCAGTTACCCACTTTTTGGTATATATCCAAAGAAATCAGCACACTACAGTGATGCAGCCACATCAGTGTTTATACAGCACAATTCACAATAGCTAAACTATGGAGCCAACATAGGTGCCCTTAGATAAAGAAATAGATAAAGAAAGTGTGGTATATACATAGACAATGGAGCATTACTCTGGCATAAAGAATGATTTTATGATATTTGTTGCTAAATGGATAGATCTGGAAACTATCATGCTAAATGAAATAAGCCAGTCCCCAAAAACCAAAGGTTAAATATTCTCTCTAGTAAGTGGATGCTAACACAAAACAAACAGAGGGGAGGATAACAATAGATATTCATTGGATTAAACAGAGGGGAAGGAAGGGGGAATAGGAAAAGGAAAGATAGTAGAATGAACCAGACATAACTTTCTTATGCTCATATATGAATACACCACAGTGAATCTCACCATTGTGCACATCCAAAAAACTGGGGTCCTAATTAGAATAAGATGTACCCCCATACTTATATAATTATATCAAAATGGATCCTACTGCCATGTAAAACTAAAAAGAACTACAATTTTTTTTAAAAAAATCACACAGCTAGTAGTAAAAAAATAGAATATTCTACCTGTATTGTTCCCATTTATTTTCATCTTATTTATCTTAAACACTCCGTAATATAGTTAGCACTTGAAATGACTATTACCAAGACTACCAATGGCCTGCCTGCTGTTTCCAAAACTGAGTGAATATCTTCAATCTTTTATTTGACCTTACACCTATCCCACGTATGATACTTTTGTTCAATTTCTTATTCCTCATGTAGCTCTAGTCAGTGGACTCAAGTAACCCCATACTCTCCTGAACTCCATTTCTTCTTGGCTTCTCCAATAGGTCATTCCTTTTTTTAGCGTTCAGGGCTTAGTGTTACCCAAAGCACCTTCCTCTGTTAAGTGTACTCCTGCCTCCCTTCACATTCCCCATCTGCATGGCTTTAGACTTCCACAAAATACCTAGTCTTATCTCCAACCAACCCAGTTCCCTAAGCTTCAGATTTAATAACCAGCTGAGTCCTGGACATCTCCACCTATGTATCATGATCAAGGGCTGGGATTGTGGCTCAGTGATAGAACACTTGCCTAGCACATGTGAGGCTCTGGGTTCAATCCTCAGCACCACATAAAAATAAATAAATAAAATAAAGGTATTGTGTCCAACTACGACTAAAAAATAAATATTAAAAAAAGTTAATCTGATCAAAACTGAGTTCAGTCTCTGTCATGTATCTGCTTTTGCCTGGATGTTCTGAAGAGACATGCATGACTCCCTCACCTCACCCTGTATCCAGTCACCAAGTTCTACCATTTTTATATTCTAAATGATTCCTTAATCCAACTTCTCTCTATTCCTTATTATCTCTTTCATTACCAATCCTAATCTGTTTTCATGTCTTAATATTTTTTCTTTTTTGTATCAATTTAGAGTTTTATTTATATTAGATATCTATAAATAAAAATACCACTCTATCAAAATCACTTCCTATTAAAATTTTTCTAGTGATTCTCCTTCCCCCATGCAATAAACTCCTATCTTCTTTAAAAAAAATGAGATCTTTGTAAATCCTTGTTTCCCTTTGCTGCCTCACTTCATACTACTCACTCTGACTCAAAGTTACGTAAATCAAACTGCCTATCCTTCTATTCACACATCATGTTATTTCTCACCACTGTGCTTCTGACTAAAATGTACTTCCTTTCCTCCCTTCTTTACTGGCCAACTCCTCATCTCAGCTCTGTGAATTCTCCCTCAGAGAATTCCTGAAGCCGATAGATTCCCTTCCTTTATGTTCCCATAATATGATATATTTACTCTTTGAGTGTTTGCTTCATAACTAGAGTGTGGGTTTCTTAAAGTCAGAGGCTACTCTATACATAAGATTCTAGTGTAATGCCTAGCACTTAGAAGATGTTTAATAAGTACCTAGTTAAGGGATGGATCAATTATAAAAATGCTACACATATCATTCCCTTTTTTGTATAGTATCATTGTGTGGCAGAGATAGTAGTGTTCTCCAAACATTCCATAAACTCTTCCTATACTCTTTAACCTTCCTTGCCCTTAGACTGGGACCATGTAAGTATTTCTAGACAATGGGCTATAAGCATACATGATCTATGGCAAACCCAGTCCAATATCTTTAAAAGCAGTGATGAGTTTTCTTCACTCTCTCTCTCCCTACTTTGGCTCTTTTGGAAGTCTTGAGATGGTGGTTGGTGGTATCACAAGTATGTGAGGAATAAACCCATGCTGGACATGTAGTAGAAGTGGAAAGTAAGCCTGTTGTATTAAGTCACTGAGATTTCAGGATGTATTTATTCAGGATTTATTCAGCATTATCTTGTCTACCCCAAATAATGCTTATTATTACAAATTTTTGCATTAACCTCTGTCCTATTGTTACACAGGTAAGAATGTTGAACCTTACCCAGTAAGAACTTTCTCTTCATCTTAAATCTGCATAATGCCTAGACTTAGGAAAAACTGAGACACATAACTCATGTTTTCTAAGTGGCCTATCTGTTGGTAGCCAGCCCTCTGCCTCAAAGCCTTTGCATGTCAAGAGCTCCTAAAGTGACTTAGGTGTTCCATCCTTGCCCAGCCTAACATATAGGTGGGGTAGTTCATTGGCTGCTCCTGGTAAGTGAAAGTAGGAATATCTTCTTACACAAAAAATGTTCACTATACTTACTGACGTAAATCTGATTCTACAGTAGAATACCATGTCTCTAAATTTATATTTTTATCCTTATTATAAAGGAAACTTTTCCCAGGAATCTACCATATTCCATTGTAATCCCAAACTAAAGGGATCACAGACTACCTCCAAAATGGATCTGAAGCCCTCCTAGTAGTCAAGGGTGTGTGTGTAACCTTCACTGAACTACAATTTCCAATTGATAAAATTCTATGCTTTTCCATGAATATTCCATAAAATGCACTGATTTCCTACTTAATATTGAACCATATTTATATTATATCCTTTCAATAAGCAATAATTATTTCAGATAAAAGAAACAGAAAACCTAGTTTCAAGTTTGACTTATTTCAAAGATAATATGGTGTCATCAAGGATCCATCTTTTAGCTCTAATGTCTTTGAAAAGACTCCATCCTTAGATAGGTTCTCCCATTATCTCGTAGCTACCACTGCACCTTTCCAGTTCAAATCCAGCAGCGAAGAGAGTCTTTCCTTGAGAAGTCCCAAAGGTTCACTGCTTTCTGTAGTTTTGAATGGGTCAAATTCCATCTCTGAATCAGTCCTTATGGTCAGGGAAATACAGTGCACTACTTAGTTCAGTCCTTCGTCATCCCATAGAGTAGTAAAAAATAATCTACTTCAAAGGAGGTGCATAGCCCAAGAGTGGAAAAGGTGATGATTTCTGAGAAAAAGTTAAGTAAAGGCCACCCCAGAGGGGAAGTGATGCTGGCAATAATAGCAGCCGCTATCCTTCTGTATAGTTTGCTGCCCAGGAGGCAGAATTTAGAGAGAGCTTCTCATTAGGGAATGTGTGTCTATGCACTGTGTGTTACAGCTTGATTGTATTCTCATTCCTTCTCTGCACTTCTCTAAGCTGTTCTTTCACCTGCTACCTTGAATTTTAGTTATCTAGAATCATTTGTCTAAATATGCTCCATTTAGACAAAGAGATCTAGATGGAGTCAGAATGGCAGTTATCAAGAATACAGACAACAATATTGTGTTGGTGAGAATGTGGGGGGGAAAGGCACACTCATACATTGCTGGTGGGTCTGAAAATTGGTGCAGCCAATCTGGAAAGCAGTATAGAGATTCCTAAGAAAATGTGGAATGGAACCACCATTTGACCCAGCTATCCCACTCCTTGGTCTATACCCGAAGGACTTGAAATCAGCATACCACAGCCATGCAGACACATCAATGTTTATAGGAGCTCAATTCACAATAGCTAAACTGTGGAAGCAACCTAGATGTGCTTCAATAGATGAATGGATAAAGAAACTTGGTGTATATACACAATGGAATATTACTCAGCATTAAAAGAGAATAAAATTATGGTATCTGCAGGTAAATGGATGGAGTTGGAGAATGTCATGCTAAGTGAAGTAAGCCAATCCCAAAAAACCAAAGACTGAATGTTCTCTCTGATAAGTGGCTGCTGATCCATAATGGGGGGGACATGGGAAAAATGGAGGAACTTTGATGGGGCAAAGTGGAGGGGGATGGGGAGGGGCATGGGGGCAGAAAGATGGTGGAATGAGATGGACATCATTACCCTAGGTACTTGTATGACAGCACATATGGTGCAACGCTACATCATGTACAACCATAGAAATGCAAAGTTGTGCTGCAATTATGTGCAATGAATCAAAATGCATTCTGCTGTCATATATACCTAATTAAAATAAAATTTAAAAAGAAACTTATCGATAGGAAAGGCAGCAGAACACAACAGACACTAGTATGGCAATATGTAAATCAATGGATGTGTAACTGATGTGATTCTGCAATCTGTATATGGGGTAAAAATGGGAGTTCATAACCCACTTGAATCAAAGTGTGAAATATGATATATCAAGAACTATGTAATGTTTTGAACAACCAACAATAAAAAATTTAAAAAAAAAGAAACTTATCAAGTGATTAGAGTATAATTAATGACAAAGCAATAATGGGAAGATATTAAGGAAATAGACTAATGTGTCGGAATAATAGATCTTAATTTTCATTAGTGTTATTCTTACCTCAAGAACTGTCAGTTATGTTAGAGATCTATTAAACTTAGAGATTATGAGAGGATTAACACAGATTCCTAACTAAAAACTCAAGATCCAAGGAACAGTATTTAATATATATGATAAGAAAAGACTCATTTTGTTTTCTTCCTTTCTCTCTGCCTCTCTCCCAGCCTGAAGTTCTGGATCAAATACAAAATTTAAGGGAGTTGTGGATGGATAATAATGCATTACAAGTACTACCTGGGGTATGTAAGTTTTATTATGCCATGTTGTTTAACATTTATGTTACACATTGGTTGCATTTGATAGTAACCAATCCTAAATGTTAAGTCTCAGTGTTTGCATTTCAAAATAAAATAACACTTGCTAGAAGTATTCAGTCACCAAGTGTTTTCACTGATTTGTCCTCCAGTGTTTCAAATGTCTCTGTGAGTGTTACAGGTATGCAAAATGTATGAAAAATTTTTTCTTGTTCTCATAGGAGGATATTTTTCATCTCTTTTCATAGTCACTGTTTTTTAAAAGCTGAGCATTCATCGTTATTTTTGAAAAGAGAAATACTATATATAATACCACATTTTATTTTACAAAATTAGCCTATTCTTACAGGTAATTAGAGAATGGTTTCTGTTCGTATTGTTAGAGCTTTTCACAAGATGAAAATCTCTTTCTTAATTCAGGCAACGTCCAAGAGATCCCACTTAAACTTTTGAAAATGGCAACAATCATATGGCATTAAAAACAAAAGTTGAACAGTCATTTTTTCCCTTGACTAAAGGGCAGTCCCATGGGACTTCCTAAGTATTAGGCTTACCTCTCAACTCGTGGAGTGTGACTTTTCTTGCTTTCTCAATTTAGTGAAAGAGTAGCTTCCCAAAGAACACTTCCCCTCACCACCCACAGCACGTGCGCTTGAATAAGTATATGCACACATGCACACACGAGCAGAGCAAGCACAAGTCCCCTGTGGTTGACCAACCTTGAACGCCTAGCATTGGACTGAGAACCAGAGCAGCTGGGTGTGTAATAATTCTTCAGTCAACACAAAATAGATGTGTGTTCCAAAAGCCAATTTTGCTCCTTTATTTGTGTGTAGATTGACAAAAATTTTTAAATTAATTTTACATGCAACAAGAACAAGAAGCTTATTCTCTGTTAAAATAAGCATGAGACCACAGAAAGAGAAACATTTGGAAAGAGGAGAGAAAATGTTTTCTTCCCTTAGCAAAAGGACATACTTCTATCAACATGGCCACAAAACAGAAAATCCACAGTTTTTTCTTTCCATAGTTTTAGTTACCCACAGTCAACTGCAGTTCAAAAAAATAAAACCAGAAATAATCAATACATAAGTTTTAACTAACTTTTATTATAATATATTGTTTTAATTGTTCTATTTTATCATTAGTTGTCATCACTTACTTTACTGTTTATTATTTATTATTTATTCATCATCATTATCATTATTGTTTATCTGTTTATTCATTTGTTATATACTTATTATTTATTTATTCATTGTTTAATCTCTTACTGTTCCCAATTGATAAACTAAATTTTACCATAGTATTTTACATGAATTTTACCATGTATTCATGGACAAAACAGTATATATAGGTTTCAATCACAGAATATCTTGGAATTTATCCCCCACAAATAAGAGGGTACTGCTATGTATGTGCAAATTCTGGAGAAATATGGGTAAGACGAACTAATTTCTTGTGCAGAGATTGAGGAAACAATGCATGTCTAGTTAGAAGTTCACACCCACTTCTCCAACATGTTTATTTAAAAACACATAGTATGTGCCATGAGCTAGGCACTTTCACAATATTTTACAAATATGGACTCATTGAATCCTCCTAACAACCTGGTAATGTAGATTGTTACCATCGTCATTTTATAAATAAGGAAACTGAAATACAGGAAGGGCAATAATAACTAGCCCAAGATCATGCGGCCAGTAAATGATGGACCTGTGACTCAACCCAGTTCAAGAGGTTTCTGCTCTATATGGAATCAATAGAAGTTACAAATGAGAATTAAACTCATCATACTTATCATGATGAATATGTTTCCAAAACCCAGCTGTGCAAATCAACTCGCACCCCAAATTCCCTAATGTATTATTTAAATGGAAAGGCAGTGATGAGATCTATAAAACATAGAATACTACCTAACATGTCTTTTTTCAATTTTTCATATGGTCTGCTAGCTTTAAGTAGATTCCTTATTTTATTTATTATGCTTGAATTTGACCTTTTGCTTTACCCTCTATGGGAATATCCCATACCTCCCTACCATAAATAGCCAGCGCTTTCCAAATGTTGGTACTAGAAAAAGACTGTTTCTCAATTACCTGGCAGCACTTGACTTTGAAAGGCAGGACGCAGCCTGCAACTTATATGTATATCACAGAATGATTAATTCTAAATATTTAGTATCATGGATGGGAAAAAGTAAATTCACTTTTTGCTTAATTCATAATGCCTTAAGTTAATACATATTTGGAAGTGTGGACTTATTTATTTATCATCATTGTTATTTATCTTACTGTTTATAATTTATTGATTGATTGATTGATTGTTTAATTATTCACTTTTAATCTATTACTGTTTATAATTGATAAACTAAATTTTACCATAGCTATGTATTTATGGACAAAACAGTATATGTAGGTTTCGATCATAATTCTGGTCTCAGGCATCCACAGTTTGGATTTTCTACTCAGTTTTTCATAAATCAAAGAGGCAACTAGATAATAGTCAATTTTTTTTCTTCTATGTGGCTCTATCTTAAGACCATCATTTTAAGGTTAATGAACTGAAATATGACTAAACAATGTATTGAATCTATATTTATTTTCAAACTCCAGTATCTTCTTCAACCTGTGATTTCCACTCTTTTCCTTTGCTGTCCAGTACTTGCCTACAAACCCTTCTACACCCAAAGACGTACGATCAACACCCTCAAGGACTCTGAGACATTATTCTCAAAGCCCTTTTCACCAGGCTTTAAATGCCTTTGTAAGGTCTTTGAAAGTGCAGGTTGAGAAAGACTCAGAAGTAAACACCAAAGCATTCCTTTTCTTCCAAAAAGAATGTTCAGAAACTACACTGAAAAAAAAATATTGACTTGTGCTTGAGATAATGAGATGGCAATGAAAGAAACTTCAAGGATGAAAGAAATGTTCTTATGATAAAGGAACAAAAAAGGAAAAACACACGTACACATACAACATCCTTTTAATACTCAATAAAAGGGAAGAGTGGGTTAAGGGAACATAATGATTTCTTGGGGTGCAAAATCATTTGTGACAGTTTTTTTCCAAGTGACATATTTCTAAGTCGGGAAAAAACTCAGCCCTGTTGTCTGACTCTCCAAGTACTCTCTTTCTATGGCCACTTAGGGAGATGAGGGAGGGGACTGGAGATATGTACTGCGTTAATTAGGGACATGGTAGTCAAGAACTGCTGGTGTAATCAAGTGGTCTTTGTAGTCTGTAAGCTGATAAAGTGACAAAAGTAGGCTGATTGTGATTCAGTAGGTATGGAGCGGGCACAAGATTCTACTTTTTTGACAAGATCCCAAGTGCGGTCAGTGCTGCTGGTCTGCAATACACAATCTGATTCACAAGAATATGAATTAGTAAGACAACAAAAAATGCATATAATATATATATATATATATATATATATATATATGTAAAATACTTAGTACAGTGTCAAACGTGTGCTTGTATGTACATATAGTCTGTCAAATAAGTAGAGACGACATAGTAAAGTATATGTGGGTAGATCACATAGATGAACTATTATGCTTCTGAAATGTATAGGACACTTATTTGCAAAACATACCCTAAAGTAAAGAAAAATAAAGACTTTCATCCTGCTCTCACTCCTATAGTCCATGTGTGAGCTAAGTGATTATGCTTTGTTCATTGTCCATGGTATGGGTGATTTCTTCCATCCCCAGCAATCAGTTAGCAACCCAGTCATTCCACTTCTAAATTTTACTTGAGCCCATCCTTCTTCATCCTCACTCCTATTTCCTTAAGTACTAAACTACTAAACAACTAAGCTGCTTCTATACAATAGTCTTTCCATATCTGCTGGAGATTGGTTCCAGGATAGCCCTTACTCTGGCATACCTAAATCCACAAATATTCAAATCCCTTATATAAAATAGTATAATATTTTCATATTACCTATGCACATCCTTTCATATAGTTTAAACCATCTAAATTATTTTTAATGCCTGATGCAATGCAAATGCTAGGTAAATAGTTGTTATACTGTATTGTTTAAAGAATAATGACAAGGAAAAACCCAGTACATCTGTAGTACAGATGCAATTTTTCTGAATATTTTGACTCATGGCTGCTTGTGGGTGCTGCAGGCCAACAGCATAGTACTTCCAATGGCCCCTGACTATAGTCACATATGTGCCTTTGTGAAGGTTTCCTGAAGTTATTTTTTTCAAGCATTAATCCAATGATGTAGTTCCTCATCTCACAAGCTTTTGAATAGCTTTCCTGCCTGTAAGACAGAGTTCTCATCCCAACACATGACACGCAATGCCTTTTACCAGCTGGCTCGCTCTATAAGCCCAACTTTATCACAAATTCCAGTCACTTTGAATTTCTCACTCTTTCTCAAGCAGGCAATGCTTTCTCACACTTCTCTGCATGTACATGCTGTTCTCTCTCCTAGGATTCTTCTTTCTTGACAAGCAGTGTCTGCCAGGCAATTTGCAACCCTTCCCCTGTTCTTTTGTGGCATTCTCCACATGCTTTTTATTGTATCTATCACAGGGTATTATATTTATTAATTTATTCAAATGTTTCTTTCACTACTATGAACTCCTCAAGGATGGAGAATTTGTCTTCATCCTGACAAGTTTGTCCCCATACTTAACTGTCAGACTCATGATTTTCTCCAGTGTAAAGCATAGGTACATAGTAGATCCTCAAAAGCAACTGCCAAATCAACAAAATGTTGAATCTTATTAGTATAATAAAGTCAAAAAGCACAATTTTAAATCTTCCTCATGCATTTTTAAATTTTAAGGATCAGTATGTCAACATCATTTCAGTGACAACATTAGTTATATTGTTCAGAAATAAGTTTGAGATTATTGCTGTTTTAACCGTTGCATTGATGTATATTATGTGTTTTAACTGTTTCATTGAGATATAATTCCATATTATACACAATTGAGTTGTTTTTAGCATGCTCACATGATAAGCAAACATCAGCACATTGAATTTTAGAATATTTTCATCACTCCTGAAAGAAACTGATTCCATCAGAAGTCATTCCCATACCACCTCCACCCAATCCCTAGCAACCTTACTCTTCTTTCTGTCCCTTGTTTGTTCTAATTATTTAATATAAATGGAATCATTACAATATGTGTTCTCTGTGATAGGCATCTTTTGAGGTTCAACCACTCTGCAGCGTGTATCAATACTTCACTTATTGTTAGTGCCAAAATAATCCATTTTATGGATAAACCACATTTTGTTTACCCATTCATCATTTGATGTACAATTTGATTGTCACTCCTTTAGGCTATTATGTATAATGTATCCATGAGCATTTGTGTAAGGTTTTGTATGTACATACATGTTTTTATTCTCTGGTATATATGTAGAGATTGTGAGTTATATGAAAATTCAATGTTTAACATTTTGAGAAACTGTCAAACTGTTTTTCCAAGTGGATACAACATTTTCCATTCCTATTAAAAATGTATGGGGGTTGATTACAATTTCTGTATCTTTGCCAACACCTATTATTATTTTGGTTGATTTTAAAATTAGTTTTGCCAGAGTATGGTTTTGACAATTTTAAAATGTTTTGTGAAAGTTTCTCAACTAACCCTGAGTTTATGCAATGTCATCAAGTCTATAGGGAAGTTAAAGATGTTGGTATACCTGGATATGTCAAAAAACAGAATAGAAACCGTTGACATGGATATTTCTGGATGTGAAGCCCTTGAGGACCTCTTATTATCATCGAATATGTTGCAACAGTTACCTGACTCAATAGGTGAGAATATAATATTTTCTCATGAATATTGATGTCAAATGTACACTTTTCTTTTTTGACAGTACAGTTTGTTTATTGATGTAGGCAATATACTGTTAGCCTGATATTAATAAATAAATAAATTCACCATACAGGAGTATAAAATAGCATTTTACAAATATCTTAGAATGTGAACTTTAGTTGTCCAATTCTAGGAGTCTTTCCTATTTAAAAATGAACCTACAGAATTGGCATGCTTCAAAACTTGGAAAATCTCCTAAGCTGTAAAATGTTATTATAAGAAGTAAATATTTTAAATTTAGAGTAATTTGATAATTATGGGTAATTATCCTTATATCACCATAGTTTTACAGTAGCTTCTATACACAGGATGTGGCTATGTTATACTTTTAATGCCTTTGGAATATTGTTGTAATATAGGAATAGCAAAAATATATAGATATAAAATGTTCTCTTGGTTCTATTGTTCTAAAAAGGGTACGGTGTCTTTAATATGTTGTTAAAGTTATTAGGGGCAGACGATTTGTCCATAATATAGAAACACTCAATCCTTTTTTGTTTATAAATTTTTGTGTGGGTAGAGTTATGAAAGACTAATTTGGATAATGAGTAAACCTTTTGTGTAGATATCTGGCAATTGTTATTTATGAGAATGAGGGAGGTAACCATCAAATTACTTAATTCTGGATCTAACTTCTTTGGAATAGATGTGTCCTATGTGCTGGAATTTAATAATGCTTCTAAAAGTAGTCCCAGCTTAAGTAGGGACTTGAAGGCATTTCCCCACATTTTTCTTCAGCATCTTATTACTAATTTCATTCGCACCTTTCTTTCAGGCTGATGGAAACATTTGTTACAGCACAATTCTCGTCTAGCTTTTCCTTTTATTCTTTCTATATTTGCTGACTTTTTGATTTACATATCACATATTTTAAAACAGTGTTTCTCCAACTTGTTTGATCATTAAAAAGTTAACTGAGGGGTTCATTAAACCCTTTCCCATTTCCAGTATCTCCAACTTTGAAATTCTGGTTCCAGAAAGTCTGTCATGGGCCCTGTGATCTATATTTTTATTAAAGATCCTAGATGAAACTTGTGATCAGATATGTCTAGGAAATACTGGTTTTGTTGTTACAGTTAGGAGGTATAATGGTTGAGAAGAGCAACCTTTGGTCAAGATGACAGAATGACATGGAGTATCACTTTAAACCCCTGCTAGATCACCATTCTGTCCCACTTCAAATGCATAGGAACTTATTTTTGCTCCTTACTGCCTCTTAAGTGCTAAGAATTGTGCTGCTATATGGTATGTCCTTCTTAAATAATTAGTAAAGAAAAGAACTGATCCATGCTAAAGAAGAACAAATGCCTGCCCAAGCCTGAGATAAAAAAAAAAAAATGCAGGGCTGGGGATGTGGCTCAAATGGTAGCGCGCTCACCTGGCATGCATGCGGCCCCGGTTCGATCCCCAGCACCACATACAAACAAAGATGTTGTGTCCACCGATAACTAAAAAATAAATATTAAAAAAAAAATTCCCTCTCTCTCTCTCTCTCTCTCTCTTAAAAAAAATGCAGTGATGACCCAAGGAAATAGATGGGTTAATCTCAATGTATCTACTTAAATAGAAATGGAATCTATAACTTCTTAACCAGCAGAGGAGGGACAAAGGGAGAAAAGAAACATTCACACAGAAAAAGAAAGAAGAATAACTTTTTTAAAAATCATGGAAAACATAAAATTGAAATCAGATTTTTTTATCTTAAACCCCAACAAATATAATGAATTAAGCTTGTTTTACAAATCAACATTTCATACAATATGTATTTCAGTTCAACTATATTCTGATTATGAGAACCATCTAAAACAAAACACACAAAATTTGATTTTAAGACAGTGGTAAAAAATGAAACATTATTAACATGATATAATTATTTGCTCCCTTTAAGAAAGCAGACTAGGAATCTGGCTTTCTGAGCTGAGAAAAGCAGCTTGTATGAGTAATGAAGAATATTTGGCTAGACACTGGGCTGGAATAAAGCAGATGAAGGCAGGCACGTGATATGACAGTCGACGCCTTCAGTTCATATCTGAATGGGTCTTGTGATTCCATTACAGAAACTTGCCCCTCAAACTGTCTTTGGACCCTATTGAAACTGCAGGGGAAGTTGTACTTGAACATCTGCAGCATTGCCACAGTACCTGATTGTAGATGTAGAAAGGCTGATTTTCCTCAGAGAATTCCCTTCTTAGCCAAGAGAAATATCTGGACGGGACACTGAGCGTTCTGTTCTGTGGCTCTAGAATAATTCACAAATGCAAATTGCATCTTGTCTTGCTTATTTGGGTAGAAATCATCTATTGAACTACCAACATTTAAAAGAATAAAAGATAAGAATTTTCATAATATAAAGAAATAACACAGAAAATAAAATCTTTCCTTCTAGCAGGCCTGTGTCCTTCTGCAGCTGTGGGATGTTTGAATAGAATGACAGACAACAAGCCCAGTATGCTTAATCCCCTTTCTTGTGCTGGTTCCAGGGAAAATGAAGAGTACTTTTTTCCCTCTTCTAGGTAGAGAGTTTCAATAATCAACTTCTTTGGATAACAGAGAAACTGAATAAAGAACATAATTTTTCACTTTTCAAAATGATTTATCTTAGTCACTTAGCAATTAAGGCTTTGTAAGTCAGATTACCTGGTTCAAATTCTAGTATTTCTTCCTCACTAGTTGTACGACCTTAGACAAGTTACATAATTTCTCTGTGTGTCAGTTTCATAATCTATTAAGTGAGAGTAGTGGTACAACTTGAATAATGAAATTATTTTGAGGAAAGAATTAATTAATATATGTAAGTTTGCTCAGAACAAACTTACTTTTCATAGTAAGTACTCTATCAATTTCAGCTATTATAATAACATAATAATTATTATCATCTTAGATATTAAGAGTACATAGATATTTGCTTTCAACTTTCTATAACGTGTATAAATGCCAAGTGAACATAAACTGTTTTAATAACAAATCATATAAAGGTTGAATACATCAATACTATTTATATATTTATATATAAGAGTAGCTAAAATTGCAGTGATAGTCCACCTTTTCATCCAGAAGTTCATAACTGGAATATAAGATAAAGAGATAATTGAGGGAGGTTTCAAGTAGAGAGAGGAATAGGATAAAATAACTTTAATTCGCATGGAGTGGAAGGAAGTACAAGAAGATATAATATGAAAGTGAAATACAATACACTGACAAGTTATATGGCACCTATGTATGATAAATCAAAGTGCATAAATGCATTCTACTGTCATGTATAATTAATTAAAACAAATTTTTAAAATTAAAAAGAAAAATGAAATACAGGAATAATCTGGCAGAAAAAAACATGAGCAATGAGTGAGACTGGTGCCCATGATGAGATTTCCAGGGAAGTTCTGGAATCAGTCCAACACTGTATCCCTGTGGATGGCCCAGGAGTGTTAAAGTCACATCACAAATAAGAGAGGTTCCTATAAATCTAGAGAGGTGGAGCTAAGCAGGGAGGCCCAACTTGGTTCAAATTGTAAATCTGCAGAAGCTTCTGGACAGAGCCCTTACTCCAATCTTCAGAAAAATCGGTTGTATCAACATTTGGCCTTAGTCCCTGACCTGCCTCAAAGTTTCTCACCATGACTCTAGATCGGTTGACCGCGGGATCTTCTTAAAGAGCTTAGTGACCTAGTTATGTGGCATTTGTTTGGCCTTCTATAACCCATCCCATAGCCTCTGATGACCCAATCTAGTGATGTCAAGACTGTGGCTCCTCCTCTAGCGTCACTCATAGGCAGGAGCAATAATCTGTCTGATCAGGGCTACCAACTCATAAAAATTTAACTGTAATTCATAGTCCCATGTTTACTTTCCACAACTGATAAAAAAGCTCAGGTGTTCTTTTATATTTACAAAGTTGGTATTTTATCATATGCACTAGGAGAAGCTGAATGATTCAATCACCTTTTGAACATAAATGAATACAGCAGTCGGTGTTCAAACTTCAGAGATAAATTACCACCATATGAATTGTCCTCTTTCCCAGGTGCAGTTGCTTTCGAGTTGACGTTATTAAGCTCCAAATTCTGTAGATATTTTCTCACAGTAGACTGATAGTGGTAACATTTCTCTCCCTCCAGGGAGAGAAAGTCTCTGCTTCTGAAGAAAATGTAATTTAGTATACTGAAATTTAAAGTGAAACACAGCTTTATTTCAGTTAAAGGCAAGTTACTCTTGCCTTTAAAGAATCCTCAAAAAACTTGAGAGGGGATAGATATGACCTAAAAGCATGTTCACAAACTATAGTTCTTCAAGATATTCTATATGTGGGCTGGAGAAATAGCTCAGTTGGTAGAGTACTTGCCTTGCATGTACAAAGGCTCTGGGTTCAATCCCCAGCAACACACACACACACACACACACACTCTACAATAACTTTGAAAAGTCATGTTGTTGAATGAGCATATCAAGAGCTCTTTTCCTCCTTAAACAAAGCCATATGATTTTGTTTAATTTGGCATTTCTCAAAATATATTTGACCATGGAACTTAATGTAGTTCAGAACAAAGTGTCTTCCGGACACAGTAATCTATTGTATATAGGTGTAGCTCCAATTTAAAACAAAACCTGGGGCTGGGGATGTGGCTCAAGCGGTAGCGCGCTCGCCTGGCATGTATGCAACCCGGGTTCGATCCTCAGCACCACATACAAACAAAGATGTTGTGTCTGCTGAAAACTAAAAAAAATAAATAAATATTTAAAAAATTCTCTCTCTCTCTCTCTCTCCCTCTCTCTCTCTTTAAAAAAATAAAACAGACTTGGAGAATAGAATATCATGCTAAGCAAAATAAGCCAATCCCAAAACCCAGGGCCGAATGTTTTCTCTGATAAGTGGATGCTAATCCATAATGCAGGGGAGGGGCATGGGATGAACAGAGGAACTTTTGATGGGGCAAAGGGGAAGGAGGGGGAGGAGGCATGAAGGTAGGAAAGATGGTGGAGACATGGACATCATTACCCTCGATACATGTATGATTACACAAATGGTGTGACTTTACTTCATGTATAACCAGAGAAGTGAAAAATTCTGCTGCATTTATGTACAATGAATCAAAGAGCTTTCTGCTGTCATGTATAACTGATTAGAACTAATTTTAAAAAGCACTTATAAAAGTATATTTAAAATTGTTGCTGAAATTGAGATGTGTGTAAAATTATAAATTAGGATATAATATTTTAAATATTAAACCAAAAATTAAAATGATATTAAATAGATTTCTAGTTGTTTTATTATTATTATGTAACTTAATTTAACAAAACAGGATTATAAATGTGGCATTATTATCTATGTTTATTCTTGTTTTGTGGATGATTATATGTAGACTAAGACATTATTAAACTCAACAAGTCTGGAGACCTTAAATCAGAGAGTGAAAGATAAATAGTTGTAACTTCAGTTCCTGGCTGGTTCTATTGGCATATTAAAATAATGAGATTTGAGTTTAAAGATGCTCCAAGACCAGGATTTATGATATCAAGCAGAATATGAAGTCATATGGTATCATTTTCCAAGTCCTTCATTGTGAGCACTGCATTGCAGTGCCTTAGTATGCATTCATGGGTTATTAGGCTTTATTCAGATGTGTGTTCAATCTGCATCATAACATGGATGTTAGTTATTAGTATTTATTAGTAAATTAAATATTAAATAATAGCAGGCTTGAAACATTTCAACTTATCCATTTGATGAAGAATAGGATAGGGAAATGTAGTAGTGGTATCTGTATCAATACAATGTATATAGAGCTTTCGGTTTTGTTTACTGCATCAATGTTCTTGAACTCCTGTAAGTGAATTTTTCACAAGACATTCAAAAGTATACAACACACAAATACTGTATCAATTTATGGTTTTATAGAAGCAGAATGCAGCCAGTTAGCATGCCAATCATTTATCACAAGTGATTCCTTTGATTTATTTTATGTGACATTTCCTGTCATAAATACGCTGATGTATTAAAAACCTTATTCTCTGTTTTAGGACTGTTGAAAAAACTGACTACTCTTAAAGTAGATGACAATCAACTTACAATGCTGCCTAATACAATTGGAAAGTAAGTGCCAATGTTTCATACCAGTCAGCCTGTCTAAAGCCAGAAATGAAAGGATATATTGACTTTTCTTCAACAAAACATTTTCTACTATAGATACCAATAATCTTGTTCCTATTTCAATTTCTTCTGGATTAATTTTATATATATATATATATATATATATATATATATATATATATATATATATCTTAATTTAATTTTATATTTGAACTTTGCATTGGCATTCATCTATGTAATATCATGAGAAATGTTCAGCCATAAATCTTTCACAGCAAAACAATTAACCAGACCTTCAATTATACTCTTAATGGTATTTTCCAGCTAGAATTTATTTGATATTTTCAAATGACTAGCAGTTGTAAGCTCACTTGGGTATTTCTTGCAAAATTAAATCAATTTTTCTAAGGTGCTACAGTATGTATATGTTGCCATTATACTGTTTTTAATATTTGATATGTATCAAAGCATATAGTGTTTTTAGAAGCAAAAAGAGAAGCATCTGCTTAGCTAGCAATTTTTAAAACTTCAAGATGAAAACCCAACATTGTCTTTTAAGGATAAAATGTGCTCCATTTATTTCATAGAAATTCATTTCTAACTTTCTATTGCTGTTAACATTTGGTTCACAATTCTTTAAGAAATATTTATTCTCAATGCTTCACTGAAATGCTTTTGTTTAAAATCTCTGTGAAATGAGGAATCTCAGGATAAGATGCTTTTATCCTGAGATTACTAAGGCAATGTTATCAGTATCTTGTCGCATATCTCATTGTGAAGAATTATATAAATTCTTTATTCAACAAATTTGAGTATACTAGGCAAGAGAAAGCCTCACTTTTTAAAAACAGCTTTTTTGTATATGATTGATAGACAGCCAACTGTAAATATTAAATTCTTTAATTTGACAAGTTTTGACATAGTTATAAAAATCTTAGATCCATCCCTACCACAATCAAAGATAGCAAGAATGTCCCTCACCGCTCCCCTCCCCTGTTCCTAGCAAGGGCACTGGAAACCATGGATCTGGAAAACTTAACTTTTAAAAAGTAGAATAGTTTAGCAAAATTCAAATTCAAATGTTCAGACTTTGGAAAGTAGAAAAAGTCTCAACCATTCCTGATATTGTAATACCACACCATACAATATGATTCTGTCTATAGTTTTCTTTCATTTTTTCTAGTGCAAAGAAAACATTATTTATGGGGGAGGGGAGGTACTCAAAGGTAATTATCCTTATAAGACTGATGTTTTTCAAAAATTCTTCCTAATTATACTCTATTAGATACTACTCTTTCATCATTGAGTCAATGCTCAGTGGAAACTGAATTTAACCTCATCTATTCTTGCTAAGGTCATGATAGATATTTTGCCATTTGTGTTCATATTTCTTACAAAGACTAATTACCACGATGACGAGGTTTATAACCTAAAAATCAGCAAAGAAAAGTTGGGTTTTTTCGGTAGGAAGTGGAACCCTGACTTGGTCTTCCTAAGAACTAGCTTTTGTCAAGAGATGTTCAGCCAGACTCTGGCCCTCTTTACAACCTCCCAGAGACAAACAGCTTTTTCTGGAGTCCCACAGGTGTTAGCCCATGACTGACATTGTAGATATGTGTTTTGAGCTCCTGTCACACATGAGTATGAATTCCTGCCTCTGCCCTTCACCAGCTACACCTCATGCCAGACTAGTTTTGGGAACAGCCAGTCTCCAGCTCTGTCTCCTTCCTGCAGCCACATAGGTTGCCATAGCCTGGCTCTGCACACACTCTAAGCCAGTCTTATGTCACCGCTAATATCTTGTCTTGACCCTTGCAGTCCTCTTGGTAGTTGACTTACAAACCTGGAGAAAGCCGAATTGTTCAACTAGTCATTTGATATAAGCTTTAATACCACTAAGTTCAAAAGGAACAGATTCAGAGACCTCACTTGACTGTCAGCAGCTTTCAATTACTTGAACACAAGGCAATTCAGAAAATCAGGGTGAGTGGCTGGGAATTAGAGCATCTATCTGTGCTGAGAAGGCAGAACAGTGAGCCTTCATATTGAAAGCAACTCGTTTTAATTAAACTCTCAAATGTCACAAAGCCAAAAAAAAAAAAAAAAAAAAGAAACATACTTATGTTGGATAAAAGAAGCAATATTTAAAAGAGCTGGAATTTGGCCAGCATTGAAAGACCAAAAGAACTTAATGGAGTTTCTTAGGGGTTGAGGGAGGCATAGTGCTTTGCTAGACCTAATCAATATTAGACAGCCTCTTAATGGAACTTTCCTGAAAGCCACTGAAACACTGGTTGCATAGACATAAGGATCCACTTGAAGTCCATGGATGCTAGTGGTTGAGTAATCCCTGCCCTTCTGACTGCCAGTTTCAGGCATCACCCATAACAGGATTGACAATAGGGAAACTAACATAATGAGAGATGTGGAAATCTAATTCACAGTAGAAAAGGGGGAGGATACCTATGGTGTACATCTTAAAGAAATAGTTTCTGAAAAGCACCCAAAGTGGGGATGTAACTAGAATATCGAGAAATCCAAGCCCATGGGCCCTGGCCTTATAAGATGCAGCCCAAAACCAGTTCTAGAACTTGCTGATACAGTATGCTCTCCTTACTGGAGGCCCCAGGAACCCAGAAAGTCACCACCATCTGCCACCACCCATTGAAGTGTTCTTATTCTTTACCCCTATGGTAGTTTCAGAATATGGTAATACTTCAGTTCCTATACTATTTGCCTTCACAGAACACAAACATATAGGTTCTGTTGCTTAGGTCTTTAACGATGATTACTGAAGAAACATAACTAGACTATAACCAAAAATAGTAATGTTTTGAAATTAAGAATTTTTATTATAAAATATATAAGCACCATTTGCATAGACCGGGTAATAGTAGTAGCATGACATCTACCATTCACTAATCCCATCCCTCCCATTCACTAGGGTTCAGCCACACTGGCCCTTCTGCACTTTCAAGAAGCCAGACTCCTTCCTGCCTCATGGCTTTCTTTTTGTCATTACCTCTATCTGAATATTTTTTTCCCTTCTCTTCATAAAGCTGACTGCTTCACATCTTCTACTCTAAACTTCAGTGTACATTGGCTGTCTTCTTTGAAAGGCAGATTCTAGTCCAGTAGGTCTGAGACCAGAGAGCTTGAGGTTCTGTATATGTCGAAGATGTCTCAGTAATGTTGATGCTTCAGGTTCAGGGACAACACCGTGACTAGGAAGATTCTAGTTTCCCGTAATGTCCACTACCACATTTTCTCTGTCCCAGTGCCTGTTTTGTTTACTTTGGGCACTTTTCCCAATTTATAACTGCTTATTTTAAAGATCATATTATTCTGCCTGACAAATGCAATTAAGATAGCTTATGTATCCCAGATCCAAAATTGTGTAGGTTTCTAAAAATATGAACATTAGACCCCAGTTCACTTTGGGTTTCAATTTCTATATTGTTCTGTGTTAATCAGTGTTGTTTGGTAATACTCTAAGAATATCAAGCAGTAAGGATGACTTTAATGGACAAGATTTTTATTTAGAACTCTTATGCTTCTACCTTTCACTAAATGCCTTGTTCAGAATGGAAATGGGAAAATTATGCAAATAAATATGGATGCTGTTATTCCCATATTTAGTTTTATTTTCCAAAAGATTGACAATTCTTTTTAAAGTATAGAAGTGAGTCCATTACAGTGACACAAGCCTGTAATTCTAGCTGCTTAGGAGGCTGAGGTAGGAAGATTGCAAGTTCAAGGCCAGCCTTGGCAACTTAGTGAGACCTGTTCAAAATAAAAGGGAACAGGAATGTAGCTCAGTGGTGAAGTGCCCTTGGGTTCAAGTCCTAATACCAATAAATAAATAACAAAATTAGGAAAAGACTTATCAAAGATAACTGGTACTATTTAATTCAAACATTGATTACTAGTTTAGAGGAATAAACAATCCCATCATAAAAGTTTATTTTTAAAGAGATTTTTGGTACCATTATATGGGGGAATTTGCAGAAGAATGGAGTAATAAAAAAACAGTATTAAATCAAAGCAGTGGTGGGTATAAGGAGAATAAAATAATGTCACTCTTCTCACTAAATTTTTTGTTTGTGAAAATACAGTCACTTTGCATTCTGTTATTTACATTAACATGTAATGGATTTATTATTTAAGAAGAAATTAATACATAACTATTTTTAATTCCTATTTTAATTTAGAATATAAGAAACTCAATAGATACAACCTATAAAAACAAAAATTCCTTGGGGTTATCTATGATTATTTTTAAGACTGTGAAAGGGTCATAAAACCAAAAGTTTGAGTATTTTCATTCTATACACGACACAGTTTGGACAGTAAAGTGGTAATGGTCACTGTCTAACTTATGTTCTCACTTGAGTAGTCTTCTACACACAAATGTTTTAGATTTGCATGTATGGGAAAAAATATACTATTTTTTTAAAGTTTTATGATGTGCCTTAATAAACAATCTGTACTTTCTTTAAAAGTGGTAATACAGTGACTTTGTTTACCTTAGGAAATTCAGACTTGCTAGATCAGAGGTTTAATTCAAAGGTTAGAGATGAAATTTGATTATTTACATAAATATTCTGTAAATGGTCAAGTAATCTATATTTTATTATGAAACATTTCACCTACAACTCTGGGCACTGAAACCCTAGAAACAATATGACCAGCTGCAGTGACCAAAAATATTCATCTTCTGTACATGGAGTAGTTCAATATTTTAGACTTATATTTAATCATTTTTAATAGTACAACTATAAGCTGCCAGATTTCATTTTTCAACATTTTTCATGGTTGAAATTGATCCTATGACTTTTGTGCCAAATGATTTATAAAAACCAGTTATTTTTGTTGTTGAACCTTAGTATATGCCTAGAAATTTCAACAGCCCTGAGAATTGAATGTCAAATAAGAATAATAATGAACAACGTTTTATGCTCACAATGCTCCAGATGCCATGTTTGGTGATTTACAGGTACTGT